CATGGGCCCACTAAGCACGGATTCTTCATTCAATGTTTCAGCTTGAGAAGTTAGGAAAGGATCTAATAGTTTATTTGGTTAGGTCCCTGAAGCATGAATTATTCAGTGGCCCATACTAAATCAAGTTGAAGTACCAGACCTGCCTTGGTATACTGTAGAAGAATGTATCCAAAGGTTTAGGGAAATTGGCATGTTAGAGTGGATTTATTAGGTTAGACCCACAGATCCACAAATGGAGTGCCCAGAGGACACACCTTTTACCACAATGGTGAGGAACAAATCTGTGAAGAGAGCCCCAGCATCCTTGAAGACTGCCGTGATTGCTATTTTATGTAAGTCAGATTTAACAGTGGGAACTTCCCTAACTGAATTAAGACACCTAACTACAATGGGGCTGATTGGACCCAGTGGTGGTAGGAGCTAAGTGGCGGCACTCAACTGACAAAGACAAGGTGAGCCTGGTTACCATAATGTACAGTGGAGTCAAAGCAGTGATCAGAATAATCTGATTTATATGGATTTATGGCATTGACTACTTAGTCATGGTCTCCCTAAGAGTGAGATAGACAGGAAACCTACTAAATATTTACTTGATCTGTACAACTGGAAGAATTCTAGGTCAAGTAAACAGCAGTCTAACTTGAATCACCAGAATGGAGTCACAACCCCTCAATCAATTCCCAGACTTGAGCGAGTTTAAAGACCCACAACTCTTTTGAATGAAGGGGAGGCCAGATCGCCTTGAGAAAGGACTCCAATATACTGTCAAAAATTTATACTCTTAATCTTTCTCCAAGCCTTCCCCAAAGGGATCTACAGCCTTTTAGAAGAGTGACTGTTTATTGGGGAAAAGGAAATAATCAGACTTTTCCAGGAATACTGGATACTGGCTCTGAACTGATACTAATTCCAGGAGGCCCACAACATCATTGTGGCCCACCAGTCAGACTGGGGTCGTATGGAGGTCAGGTTATTAATGAAGTCTTAGCTCGTGTCTGTCTCACAGTAGGTCCAGTGGGTCCCCGAACTCATCCTGTAGTGATTTCCCCAGTTCAGGAATGCATAATTCGAATAGATACACTCAGCAACTGGCAGAACCCCTACACTGAATCCCTGACAAATGGAGTAAGGGTATTATGGTAGGAAAAGCCACTGGAAGCCATTAGAACTGCCCCTACCCAGGAAAATAGTAAACCAAAAGCAATACTGCATTCCTGGAGGGACTGCAGAGATTACTGCCACCTTTAAGGACTTGAAGGATCCAGGGATGATTACTCCCACCACATCCCCATCAACTTGCCTATTTGGCCAGTGCAAAAAATAGATGGATCTTGGAGAATGACAGTGGATTATTGAAAACTTAACCAGGTGGTGACTCAAATAGCAGCTGCTGTTCCAGATGTAGTTTCATTGCCTGAGCAAATTGATACATCTCCTGGTACCTGATATGCAGATATTGATCTGGCTAATGCCTTTTTCTCCATACCTGTTTTGAAGGATCACCAGAAGCAGTTTGCCTTCAGCTGGCAAGGCCAGGAATACACCTTCTGTTGTCTACCTTAGGGTTACATCAGCATCTAGGTTGTTTCCATCTTTTTGCTATTGTGAACAGTGCTTCAGTGAATATGGGTGTGCATATGTCTATTCATGTGACGGCTCTTATTTCTCTAGGATATATTCCTAGGAGTGGGATTGCATTTTATAGTGCTTTTTTTTGTGGTGCTGATGTTTTCTTTGTTCCTCTTACTGTCCTGTGCTGAGCTCCTTTTGTTTGTGGATTTTTTTTTTCATTTCTTTTGTTTTTGTAGGTTTTGTTTTTACTGAGACTTTACGTTTTTCTTCTTTGTTCTCATGAGTAGGTTTGTTAACTTTCTTTGTGGTTACCTTGAAATTACCCTTATCTTCCTAGATTTGTACCAGTCTCTTATTGGTATCACTTGACTTCCTCTCCATTAGAAGGTTCTATACCTACACCGTTTATTCCCTCTTTTATTGTTCTGATGCTGTTGTCATTTACAGATTAACCTCTCTGGTTCCCTGTTGTAATTCTTTTGGTTTTGCATAGTCCTTAAGAGTTCATTTCCTAGGTTGGTATGTGGCTAGTAAAATCCTGTGTCCTATATTCAGCCTGTGGTCTGATAGTGTTTGTTCTCAGATCGAAGGACTTCCTTTAATAATTCTTGTAAGTTTGGTTTGGTTTTTACATACTCCCTTAATTTCTGTTTATCTGGAAATGACCTAATTTCACCATCATATTTGAACGAGAGTTTTGCAGGATATATTATTCTTGGCTGGCAATTTTTTTTCTTTCAAGCTTTTATATATGTCATCCCATTGCATTTTTACCTGCATAGTTTTAGTCTTATTGTTTCTCCTCTGTATGTGACTTTTTGTTTTTCTCGAGCTGCTCTCAGGATTCTTTGTTTGTCTTTGGTTTTAGCAAGTGTAATTATGATATGCCTTGGTGATTTTCTTTTGGGGTCTATCCTATATGGGTTTCTGAGCTTCTTGGATGGTCAGCTTTTCATCTTTCATGATATTGGGGAAGTTTTCTGTCAGCAACTCTTCAATGATCCTGTCTTAGTCATCTAGTGCTGCCATAACAGAAATATCACAAGTTGATGGTTTTAACAAAGAGAAATTTATTTCCTCACAGTCAAAGTAGGCTAAAAGTCCAAATTCAGGGTGTCAGCTCCAGGAGAAGGCTTTTTCTCTCTGTCGGCCTTCTTCTCTTCGGTGTTCCCCTGGACTAGGAGCTTCTCAGCGCAGGGACCCCAGTCCAAAGGACGCGCTCTGCTCCCGGCACTGCTTTCTTGATGGTATGAGGTCCCCCACTCTCTGCTTGCTTCCCTTTCCTTTTATCTCTTGAGAGATAAAAAGTGGTGCAGGCCGCACCCCAGGGAAACTCCCTTTACATTGGATGTGACCTGGGTAAAGGTGGTGTTACAATCCCACCCTAATCCTCTTTAACATAAGATTACAATCACAAAATGGAGGCCAACCACACAATTCTTGGAATCACGGCCCAGCCAAATTGATACACACATTTTTCGGGGGACGTAATTCAAACCATGACAGATCCTCTCTCTGTTTTCTGTTTTCTCCCCCTGTTCTGGAACTCCAATCACTCGCATATTTTTGCTTTTGATTGTATCCCACATAATTCTCAGGGTTTCTTCATTTTTCTTCATTCTTTCTTCTGATTTTTCCTCAAACAGAGTTGTATCCAAGTGTTTATCTTCAATCTCGCTGATCCTATCTTCCATTGTTTCAAACCTGCTCCTCAGCCCTTCATGACACTGTCCATTTCTGAAATCTTGTTGTTAATCTTCTGGATTTCTAATTGTGTTTTTGTATGATTTCTAGTTGTGAATTTATTTTAGCATTTTGTTCCTGTATTATTTTTGTGAATTCTTCCATTTTTTTGTCTGTATTTTCCATGAATTTGTCTGCCTTTTCCATGAATTTGTCTATTTTTTTCTCATTTTTGTCTGTTTTTTGCTTCAACTCTTGGATAATTCTGAATATTAGAGATTTGAATTCCCTATCAGTTAGGTCTAGTGCCTTTTCTTCTCCTGGAAGGTCATCTGGTGTTTTATTTTGGATGCCTACTAGAACCGTCCTGTCTTGTTTTTGTAAATGTTTTGATATTGTCTGCTGTCTTTGGGACATTCAGTGATTATTTCCTTGTTTATTGATTGTAGATTTCTTTGTTTTGTCCTACTTTTTTGTTTTATTTGGTTATATCTGAGCAGGTGGTCTATGTATTCTTTGTTGTTTGCTCATCTGTGGGCACGATACTTTTCACCACCTTCTTCATGGGCAGGGTCAGTCACTCAGGCAGGGTACAGCATGGCAGGTCCAACTGAAGGGGAGTTGCTGGGATAGGTTTTTTGTGGCATGTACCAGGGCTGACAGTGCGGACTGGGAATCAGTGCAGGGCAGGTTCCAGTAGGCCATGCCTGTGCTGCTTGGGAGTTTGATGTTCAGCACATAGTGCAGGTAGGCAGGAAGGAGGGGGTAGATTGTGATGTGTGGAGCTAAGATGGGTATGGGAAAGATGAGAGAGAGGGGAGAGGAACAGGAACAAAAGACATACACACAAACAAAAAAAAGTGCTAAGGGAGCTTGCTATTGGAGTGGAGAGATG